AGGAACTATGGTATGGACTACTGTGGATTCTCCAATCTTTGCGCTATTTCTTTAGATGTTTTAAAAAATTTGCGTAGATAGATTCAGCAGCGCCTCGCTGGAATCTTCTGGAATGTTGTGGCGCGACAAGCCATTAACACAACATAACGGAAGTTCGATGCTAATTCGTGCTTGTAAATCAAAGTGGCATTTAGTTGCAATGGCAGGCAATCTTATCACGATTAAATGAAATATTTTGTTTGAAAGTGAAGTGTTACAAAAATGCTGTTCTAAATAGTGCTACATTGTCGATAAGGGATACAACCACAGTACCAAGTTTGGCTAATGTGAAGAGATAGCGCGCGGGTTTCGATAGGGTCAAAACCCAGGTTAGGGATACGTTTGGGGTTCAGGATAGATTTAAGGTTCAGGTTAGGTTTAGGGATACATTAAGATAAATTAAGAACACAAGTTCGCGGGTCGCGGTAACCAAAGTAAAAAAAACCGCGGTGTTATCTCTTCACATTTGCCAAAAGTTTTGTTTCTATACTTTCCTGATCAGATTTACAGCCAAACTACACCGTCATATCGTTACTTCACTCATCAGTGCACCACCGTCCACATCATAACTTCACACATCAGAACACCACCGTCCACATAATTACTACACACATCAGAACACCACCGTCCATATCATTACTACACACAACAGAGCACCACCGTCCATATCATTACTTCACACATCAGAGCACCACCATCCACATCATAACTTCACACATCAGAACACCACCGTCCATTTCATTACTACACACATCAGAACACCACCAACCACATCATTACTACACACATCAGAACACCACCGTCCACATCATTACTACACACACCAGAGCACCACCGTCCACATCATTACTAAACACATCAGAACACCACCGTCCACATCATTACTACACACATCAGAACATCACCGTCCATATAATTAGTACACACATCACAGCACCACCGCCCATATCATTAATACACACATCAGAGCACCACCATCCATATCATTACTTCACACATCAGAGCACCACCACCCACATCATAACTTCACACATCAGAACACCACCGTCCACATCATTACTACACATATAAGAACACCACCGTCCACATCATTACTACACACACCAGAGCACAACCAACCACATCATTACTACACACATCAGAACACCACCGTCCACATCATTACTACACACACCAGAGCACCACCGTCCACATCAGAGCACCACCATCCACATCATTACTACACACATCAGAACACCACCGTCCACATCATTACTACACACACCAGAGCACCACCATCCACATCATTACTACACACATAAGAACACCACCGTCCACATCGTTACTACACACATCAGAACAACACCGTCCACATCATTACTTCACACATTAGAGCACCACCGTCCACATCATTACTTCACACATCAGAACAACACCGTCCACATCATTACTTCCCACATCAGAACACCACCGTCCACATCATTACTTCACACATCAGAAAACCACCGTCCACATCATTACTTCAGACATCAGAACACCAACGTCCACATCATTACTTCACACACACACACACATCAGAACACCACCGTCCACATCATTACTTCACACATCAGAACACCACCGTCCATATCATTACTTCACACCCCAGAGCACCACCGTCCACATCATTACTACACACATCAGAACACCACCGTCCACATCATTACTACACACATCAGAAAACCACCGTCCATATAATTAGTACACACATAAGAACACTACCGTCCACATCATTACTACACACATCAGAGCACCACCGTCCACATCATTACTACACACAACAGAGCACCACCGTCCACATCATTACTTTACATTTTAGAACACCACCGTCCACATCATTACTTTACATTTTAGAACACCACCGTCCACATCATTTCTACACACAACACTGCTCAAACCGTCTGTATCATTACAACACACAAAACTGCCCCAACTGTCCATATTATTACTGCAAAAAACGGTGCTCCACCGTTCAAATCATTGAAACACACAACATTGCTCCACCGTCCATATCATTACTGCACACAAAAGAACTCCACTGTCAACATCATAACTACATACAACAGTGGGAGCGGCGAGAGTATTTTTAAACACAACAGTGATCCACCTTCCATATCATTACTACACAACAGTGATCCACCACCCAGATCATTACTACACAACAGTGATCCATCGCCCAGATCAATTCTACACAACAGTGATCCACCACCCAGATCATTACTACACAACAGTGATCCACCACCCAGATCATTACTACACAACAGTGATCCACCACCCAGATCATTACTACACAACAGTGATCCACCACCCAGATCATTACTACACAACAGTGATCCACCACCCAGATCATTACTACACAACAGTGATCCACCGCCCAGATCAATTCTACACAACAATGATCCACCTTCCATTTTATCACTACACAACAGTGATCCACCTTCCATATCATTACTACACAACAGTGATCCACCGCCAGATCATTACTACACAACAGTGATCCACCACCCAGATCATTAATACACAACAGTGATCCACCGCCCAGATCATTAATACACAAAAGTGATCCACCGCCCAGATCATTACTACACAACAGTGATCCACCACCCAGATCATTAATACACAACAGTGATCCACCGCCCAGATCATTAATACACAACAGTGATCCACCACCCAGATCATTACTACACAACAGTGATCCACCGCCCAGATCATTACTACACAACAGTAATCCACTGCCCAGACCATTACTACACAACAGTGATCCACCACCCAGACCATTACTACACAACAGTGATCCACCACCCAGACCATTAATTCACTCTAGTGCTCCACTGTCTGTATCATTACGATATAACAGTGCGACACTGGCAAACAGTATACCCTACAGCAGCCCTGCAGTCTACTAGTACTAAATAAAACATGAATGCACTGCCCATAGTTTGAATACAGCAGTACAGTCCACCATTAAAATTAACTTATTAAACAGAAAGCCATACAACACTTGCTGAGATAAACTGTACATCAGTGCTGAGATGAACTGTCCATCAGTTGCTGAGATGAACTGTACATCAGTTGCTGAGATGAACTGTACATCAGTTGCTGAGATGAACTGTACATCAGTTGCTGAGATGAACTGCACATCAGTGCTGAGATGAACTGTACATCAGTTGCTGAGATGAACTGTACATCAGTTGCTGAGATGAACTGTACATCAGTTGCTGAGATGAACTGTACATCAGTTGCTGAGATGAACTGTACATCAGTTGCTGAGATGAACTGTACATCAGTTGCTGAGATGAACTGTACATCAGTTGCTGAGATGAACTTACATCCGTTGCTGAATTGAACTGTACATCAGTTGCTGAGATGAACTGTACATCAGTTGCTGAGATGAACTGTACATCAGTTGCTGAGATGAACTTACATCCGTTGCTGATATAGGGTAGACAGGATACTTGGTTAAAGTAGTTTGAACTCTTATAAATATGATAAATATTTTTATTAACGCCGATCGCATAATCTCCCCAGATGCAGTGTCGATAATAGAGCAAAATACAGAATAACACAGAACTTTGTCAAGCTGGACTGAAAGTAGTTATGAGCATGAGCCCGATTGTATTGCGAGCTTCCCCAAGACGCTGAAGACCACAGAACATATATAGGCTATCAGAAGTTGAAGTCTCATATTAAATTTTATCAACACCTAGAACAGACCAAAAAAAATGAAGTAACCTTGAGTGTCAAATCTAGGGCAGCACCAAAACTCCAGCAGGCCCCATGCGGCTACTACCTTATATTTAAAAAAAATTTTTTGGAACTTATTGCCTTTCTTATGGATCTGAGCTCTGTCTAGTAGCCATAGTCAATACTTGTTCTTCATTACATATGGACAGTATAGTTTTCATTCCAAAAAGTTATAGTGTCATCAGGCTGATCTGTGTTTTGAATCGGTCCAAGATCCACAAATTCAGTTGGTCTGCCCCAATTCAACTCGCTAGGAGCAACCCTTTCGGCAACAGACACGCTTGGCCAACGGACCACTTGTGGCTAAAATAGTTTTGCCCAAAAGGAGATAAAAAATGTAAAGTTAATATTGTAAGTGCAATTTACAATTTTTAAAATATCAAAATTGTTTAGTAGTTAATTTTAAATATCCAGTAAGGCAATTCAGCAGTTGAACATACATGCTTGCTTTAATAAATTTTATTGTGGGTTCAAAACTGGTCAGCTGCTGCATAATGAAATTTCCTGCAAAAACATTCTTTTCAGTTTGCTTGAACTTGGCTCTGTGAATCAGTATTAAGGGATTCATCAAGTCAAAATGCAGATCCCGAAAACTGATGTTTATTTAGAAGCAGAGATGAGATGTGCCTTGAATACAGGCATTAAACCAAAATTTATGCAGGTTGTTAACGAGAAAGAATTAAAGTTTTTGCATTAACTTTAGGTTTTAGTTAAAATATGAGTTAACAGCTTATTTCTTAATTTTGTAGAAGTATTTCATCATTTATTTATAATTTGTTTCTTTTTGGGGGAAAAAGAGTTGTCATTCCTGCTCTAGGATATAGGAAGTTAGCTTAAAAAATGATAACAAAAAGTTTAACCAAATAAGTATAGATCATCAGTGATCAGTTTTAATGCCTAGGGTGTGAAAAAGAAATATTAAGGAATAAATTCTTAACTTTTTATTATTAGGTTGTTTTATATAGCGCAGTATCTCAGCCTAGGGCTAGGCTGACTGCACTTCACATAAAAATTAGCAATTACAGAAACGTATACATTTCAAAACAACAATTGGTGAAAAGCTTGACCTCACCCACCCAAGTACTATCTACCCCTGTCTAGCAATGGATAGCACACAGCAGAATCCAGAGAAAATATTTCTAGGATACACACAGATTACATAAATATTGAAACAGATTACATTAAGATAACAATCTTTAAATCATGTCTTGAGGAAATTTTTGCTTTATTATTTCACAGTATAACAATATTACAGAATATGTATATACATCAATGAGCAATAATGGAAATTTGCTACATCAAATATCACTAGTGGCCTTGTTCATAACAGACATTGTCATAAATGTACACGTATCACTAATGGCCTCATACACAACAGATTTATATACATTATATTAATAGCCGTCTCACCAAACATTTATATAAAAGCGAGACACACAACGACATTTCTGTAACAGTGGATCACTAGTTAACTTGTAATAATGAGTTGTAGTTGTACTTAAGTTTTGTGATCACGTTATTTCCCTATAATTGGCAACTTAAATTTGAATGTCTCACTCACCACTGTCTAAATTGTTACGGTATCTAAATCAGCGTAGAAAAGAAAAACTTAACACCAATTAAAAGTGTGACAAGTTATCAAGTATTCATTAGCAAATGGGAAATGTCTGATGTATCATATCAAAATGGTGCTGATGTTTGGGTTTAATAAAAAATTTGTAATAAATCAGTGTGGAAGTTAAAAAAAAAAGAACAGTTTAAAAAAAACAATTGTCTTGATTACAGACAAAAATGCATTGACAGATGATTAATTCACACATCAAAATAATCGCATCATACAGCCAGAAGGTAAAAGTAGAGCTCTGTTGGCATGAAATGAAAACGTTAAATACATCTAGAAGTACAAAATATGAAGGTTATTTCAAATTTCAAAAAACGGAACCCGTGTGCTTGCCAGCATTGACCTGCATTTGCTTGCTACAATAGACCTGTGCATGCTTTCAATTACACACTTACTGTAACGGCTGTCAGAAGTTATTATTTAAAAAAAAGTGCTTGCTTTTGAGTCATGCTTTACAAAAAAGCAATCATTGTAAACATTCAATTATTTTTTTTTTCAGAAAAATCACAAGAAATGTCTTGTCTGGGATTTAAAAAAATATTTCATGATAACAAAAAAAACAACAATAATCCAAGATTGAAAAAAACATAACTACCCTTTTTGTCATTCATATGTTAGATAATCTGAAATGAGAGGGGTCGGGTATTGTTGGATATTCAAATTTGCAAGACTTCTTAATCACAGTCAGTTAGGAAACTGTGCATTTATTTGAAATTTTTATGTTAAAATTATAGTTCAATTTTAGGTAAACACCGAAAGCCTTTCACCTGGTTTTTACAGCAGTTTTATTTATTAAACCTCACTCTTAGTTCATATAGCCATTAAGTAGAGAATACCATTCAAATCTTTAAAAAAGACAACCCTCCCAAAGATATGGTGGTTGTTGCGCATTGCAGCCTGATAGTTCTAGAAATCATAACATAGTATCATCAATCAAGGAAAACAACAGTAAGCCAGCTGCATCAACAGAATGCATCATAGACGATGTATTTTGTACCCTCAAGGTGTGAAATCTACTGCTCCAGCCACAACAACTGCATGATTTTACCCAATACCTCCCACCATCAACAAGTAGAAAAAAATCAACAACAAAAAAATGAACCAACAAACTTGCACACAGTCACATCTACCATGTTAATACTGTGTCAAAAGATCCTTCTTCTGCTAGGGGTGTGGAGAGTTCCTTGACTAGTACAAGAGGAGGTAAGGTTACTATAAGACCAAATTAATTTCAACATCTGTGGTGGGGCTGCTGGTTAGATGAAGGACACTTTACACTAAATCAAGCAGTCACATGAATGGGAAAAAATGAACAGGTTATCAAGTGCATTTTCTATGTCTAAGGACAGCCAGGCCGATTCCAATATAGTTTTGTTTATCCGCTTTAAATAACACATGTTTCTAGGATTTCATAGCGAGACAAATATCAGAATAGTAATAAATGCATCCATGCATTGACCCAAGTCTTATGCACAGTTTGAAGATAAAAATGAAAAAAATTCCATTGTAATTCTTTTTTCTCACAACATTCGCCTCATTTCAAGATTTGCTGGAACTGTCTCCACCAGCCATGGTCATTGACTTCCCTTTGTTTAAATTCTGAGACTTAACAAAATCTATTTGAGCATAGGAAAGCGGTGGTTGCTTCTCATCAGCGTCAGAGGAGTTTCTACTCTTGATCCGGGGCACCTTCAAGTCTGCATCTCCCTGACCTTCCGAGCCGCCCAGATCCAGCTTGACGTAAATCAAAGGCTTGAAGGCCGGCTCACTGTGGGTGCTGCCACAGCTCTCGCCGCTCCCACTGTTGCTGCTGCTCGTGTTGACTTTTTGCTCAGAGCCGGTGGAGACCAATCCAGAGCTGCTGGCAAAATTAATCTGCTGGTAGTTGCCCAGATCCGGTATGCTGTGTCTTGTTCTGGAGCTGGACGAAAACTGAAGACAGCATGATCGAGAACTGAAGTTTGGGGTGTCGCCAGCTGATCGGCTGACATCTGGGGCAGCATCAAGACTCTGCATGCACGGAGTACTTCCTGGTCTGATGAGCCCATGCCCATCCTTTTTGCAAGCGGCTGTCATGTCTCCCAAGCTTTGACCATGTCCATCCTTGCTGGTAGAGGACACCATCCCGGACACGTCACCAAAGCTCTGCTGAATCTTGGCCTTGACGACGGCCATCTTGGCCTCTAAATCTTTACCAGCCACAGGGCTGGCCTCACCACAAAAAAACTCACCACCACCGCGTGTTGGAGACATGGGACTTTTCTCAGCACTGCTACCTGGTGATTTATCCCCACTTGGCATCCTCCGTTTTGTTTTTCCTCCAGATAAATTTAAGGATGAGTTAGAATCTGATTGGTTGTTGCCCCTCGAGTCTGACTTGCTCCCTTTGCTGATGGATTTCTCAGAGTCTGTGGAGGCCTTTCGAGATTTCTGAGATGATGTGGAGGAGCCACTAGGGTGTTTGTGTCTGTTTGTTGATGCTGATGGAGATGGCGCATCGGATGTGGAGGATCCACTCAGATGTTTATGCCTCTTGGAGTTTTCTGAACTTGGAATCGGAGACATGGGCTGGTGGTTGGAGGAGGTTTGTGCTCCACTTAAATTTTTCTGTTTGTTAACCTCAGCAACAGTAGAATCTGAAGTTACTTGCGGCTGTTGAGCAGTGGGATTGGATTTGGGTGTGTCTAAAGCCTGGCTGGGATGTGTACTTGCTGGAGCAGATGTCTGACGTTGGTATCCATGTGAATTCTTTTGTGGTTGGTTAACATTTCCTTGGAAGGAGTTTTCTACACCAGTGTCTATAGTGAGCTCGGTGAAAACACTTGGCTTAGCTCCCCCAAAAGTTTGGGCTCCTTGAAGAAGGCATGCACTTGGAAGTGGTGTCTCTGGAGCTAAATCTTCTTTTGGGCTCTTAAAAGAACCTGACTGAGCTGGATTGTAACTAACATAATGGTTCCCTTCATTTAATACGGTATTTTGGGAACAACTCTGACTCTGTGTGCAAGTTTGTGCAGCAGATAAACATTCCTGACCGCTCTGAATTACAGATAAACATGGCTGACTACTTGGAGTTGCAGGTAAAAAACGTTGGCTACTTTGAGTTGCAGGTAAACATTTTTGGCTACTTTGAGGAGAAGGCAAACAATTTTGGCTACTCTGAGTTGTAGACAAACATGGCTGGCCACTTTGAGTAGGAGGTAAAAACTGCTGGCCACTTTGAGTAGCAGGTAAACACTGCTGGCCACTTTGAGTAGCAGGTAAACACTGTTGCCCAGTTTGTGGTCCAGCAATAAGAGGAGGTGCTTTAGGTTGCTTTGACTGCTGTGCTGTGTCGGGGTGAGGGCCGTCTTTAAATGGATCTGATGTCAGAGTTTTGCTGGAGACTGGAAATGGCGGTGCTGTACTAAATGAAGAGAACGGAGCCGGATTTGTCTTATTTACAAAGTTAGAGTGTTGGGCAACTTTTTCTGTCCCGGGATGCTGCAGATTTTGGGCATTCGTTACATAAACAGGAGGTGGCTGGGCTGCATTTGGGGACAACAAGGATGAGGCACTTGGGGAGCTCCACTGAGAGTTCCCTGGAAAAGTAAATATCTGACCTTCTTTAAACGGTAGCTCTGTCTTGTGGGTGCTATTACTTGGGCTCAACTTGCCAGGAGCAGCGTCCCCTCTGCCAGTTTTGTTGGACAAATCTGAGAATGTCTGCTGTTGTTTGGGACCCTGGCTTTGTTTAGATTTCCCAGTTGTTAAATCACTGCTCGACCCTTTGATGTAGGACATGACCGAGTTGGGTGACACTGGCTTGCTGGCACCCTGCGAGCTCACTGGACCGGGCTCATAGCCAACATATTCCTGACCGTCTGCTCTTGAGGATTCATGAGGCTGCAATGAAGGGGAAAAAGTGAAGTATCCTGGAGCAGTTGCAGGCTGGTATTCCACATATTCCTGAGCTTCATTAATTTTCCTGTGTGATGTAGATGGGGATACCACAGAGTGAATGGGAGGGCCAGGCTCAAAACCAACATAGTCCTGAGCTTCCTTGGCTGCCCCTTGTTTGGCAGAAGATGGAATGTTAAGTTTGGATGGTGGTGGTTTCTGTGGTTGGAAATGCACAGTTTTTGATGCGAACTGTGGTGCAGGGTTGTACAGTGTGTAGGCCTCTTCTTCAGCAGGTGATGGCAGGGGATGTGCTGAGCTGAAGCCTCCACTAGATGAAAATGGAACGCCCCTACTGGGGTGAGAGCTGGGTTGTACCGAGGAATGGAGCTGTGTGGGATGGTGAGAATTTGGATGTGAGCTATCCCCCTTTGTAGCCGTAGGTGAAAATTCAATATATTCGTCATCAAGATCGTCAACAGGAGCAGATGTTGAAGCAGGTTTCCTCACTGGCATTATACCGAAGCCAGGTGCATTATGGTCCTTTCCCATACTAAAGGGAAGCTTGGCACTGCTCGGCCTGCTGCCTGTTGAGCCACTTTTCTTCCTGAAGTCTTTACCAAGACTATATTTTTCCATTGATGACTGGCGTGAGGCTTTACGTATGGAGTCACTGCTGCCCCCTGTACGAGTGGATGTGGATACAGATGGCTGCTGTTGAACTATGACGGATGATGCTGATGGAGAGCATGATGACATTGAAACTGATGAGGGCTTCCTAGAGGAGGTAGGTCTAAATATTTGTTTATCTTTCGAACCCAGGGAACCTGTTCTCTGTTTATTACCCGCACTATGCGAAGGATCATACATAACGTATGTGTCTACATTCTCCATAGACACAGATCTACCTGTGTCTGACCTAGATTTTTTACTGTCAAGTTCCATTGTCATGTACTCTGAATCATTGGAAAGTGAAGGAGGTATGGTTGCTCCCGTCAGCTTCACATCACTGATGTTGCTTTGACGTGTCCCGTAATCCATATTCATGTATGAATCTCTGCTACCCCCTGATGAAACGTTTGTTGGGGCCATTTCTGTATAGTCATCAATCTGTTGCAAGTGGGTCTGCTGCTGCAAGCGGTCAGAACTGTTAGTTCTTATGTCTGGCCGGCGCCCGCTGCCGCTAGAATCTGACCTAATCCGATGAGGTGACGACTTCCTTCCAGCTGTTCCCGGCTGCATGTTGACATAGCCATCAGGCTCAGATGAGACCAGCTTAAGCTGTGGAGATGGCGTCCCCCTCATTTCAGCATAGTCACTTGCATTAGAACCACTCTTCTTTCTGATCTCTTGAGACGTTTTCCTCAGGCTCTCATTGGACACACGCAGGGAGTCAAATGAGCCTTGTAAAGACGACTCCATGGATGTTCTATGCATGGGATCCTGGGATATTCTGGACTGTTCTACCGCCAGTTTACTGAACTTTGGGAAAGGCCTTGTACCCTGGCCGTGGCTAGCAGAGCGAGGCCTGCACATTGGCTGAAGTTTCCCAAAGCTCGATGTTCTGGGCCTGTAGTTGTAGCTGTCGCTGGCAGTTCTTGGCCTCATGGACATGTACTCCATAAATGAATCAGAGTCATCAGATTTAAGTGACATGCTCAGAGGGCTTGCACTTGTGGTTGGAGAGTCAGTGTTATGTTCTCTTTCCTGGCGACGTGCTGGAAAGGAAAGAAAATAAGGTAGTAAGATTTTAATAACATGAAAAACTAAAAACAGATCTTCTCCCCACTTAATGTCAGGTGTAAATTTTTACTTTAATAATGAATGTCAGCTATGTCCTGTTATCTAAGTAATAAATCAGCAGGATGCAGATTTATTAATTTATATTGAAAAGTGTCTAAAATAATCTCACGATGTAAAAAATGTTTGAAGTTTAAAATCAGGGGAATTAACCCGGTTGAACATTCACGGTGAGTCTCACCTTTGTTGATAATGTGTGGAGCACTTGTTGCCCTGGACATGTCATTTCCTCCGGCACTATTCCTGGGGCCCATCTCAATGTAGCTGTGCTCTTTCTTGGCAACAGGTCGGCTACCGAGGGAGTAGGTGCGTGGAGGGAGTTCAGTGGTGTCATCGGAGAGCATGCATTTGGCAGGCTCAGGGCGGAGTATCCCTGATGAACTAGCTGGACTGTTGGATATATCCATGGGCAGGTAGCCCTCATTGCCTGCAAAGGAAAATTCAAGTGAAACTCAACTGAGCCACGTAGCAAGTAGTTATCTGATACAAGTTATTTATACATTTATCTAATGGTTTCGCTATCTTAAAAAGATAATATTGTAAGCCACACAATCTCTTTTAAAGTTTATAAAAAGACAACTTTAAGGAAGTTCATACAAAATAGTTAAATGAAGACTTACTTCCCCCTTCTCTGACAGTGGGCAGTGGTGATGGATGGTGGCTTTCTGAAAAACTGTGGATGGGGATAGGTGCTGACATTTGAGACGAAGGCTGGTGGTGGACCATCATCAGATAGGAGTCTGCCTGGGAGGACACAGGGGCCCCAGGGCCCATAGCACAATATGGATCAGGAATGGCTGAGCTCACTTCTGAAGAGTAAAATAAAACCTAAATGCATTTTTTTTTTTACAAGAAAAATAATAAACTTATTTTTTTCCCCACAACAATCTCATCAAAATGATTTGTGAACATCTGTGTTGCTGAATATAAGCCAGTTAGCTGGGATGATGGGAAAACTGTGTTGCTGAATATAAGCCAGTTAGCTGGGATGATGGGAACATCTGTGTTGCTGAATATAAGCCACATAGGGGGTGGTTTGCAAGTTACGTCATGCTCAAAAAGGGGGGGGGGGGGGCGCGCGACAAATTTGTGACGTAGCCATTTTACATTCGGCTCGGCCTTCGTATTTTTGCGTTTTTTACGGCACAGTTTTCTAATAAAACAACATTTTAATCCATTATGGGAAAATGTTTAAGAATAAAATAAAATCTTAGTTTAGAAATAAAAATTTTGTGTATGTTTAGAATTTTTTTAGGTGTGACTTGACACTGGGGTGGGGTGGTGGTGGTGTGTGTGTGGTGGTGGTTAAGGGATTTGTGACACTTTGTGACAGGGGGAGGGAGGTCTTAAAAGGTCATTTTTTGTTGTCATTATATTTATATACAAAAAACCAGACATCGTACCCTTGTGCACATAACTCTGACCAAATGGAGATGTGCCCATCTTTAAATAGCTGCTGGAGCCAGGCGAGGTGGAGGGGACGCTACTTGGTGGCCTGTCATTTTTCTTCATATCCATTTCCATGTAGCTCCTGACTTGCTCTGCGGCATGATGGAAGGTGATATAACAAGACACGTACAAGTGGATTATAACAGAAACATACAAGTGGATTCATTTCTGCTTGCCATGCAAGTCATGACAAATAATGTACACCTTTACACTCTGTTCTTTTAAATATTCTTACAAAAGCCTGCTTGTGAGAGTGATTTGTGGAGCAGACATTGGGAGAATGGCAACAGACGGATGAGAGATCTTTGACAGCCTATGTTTTTTTTTTTTTTTTTTTTTTTTTTTTTGAGAAAGGCCCTACGAGATGATACTGTACCAAATCACTTGTTTATATCCTTTGTTTTCATTGCATCTAAACTTAATCAAATGAAATGATACCATGGGACCAAATTAATTTTAGTTGGTATTTTAACACCAAGGTCAGTATGGAAACAGAGTTTTCTTGAAATGTCCCATATTTTTATCAATTATGAATTCTATCCGTGTTAAATGAATGCACACTTTTAGCAAAACAATTTAAAAAAAAAATGTTTACTATAAATAATGCAACTAATGGATTACCTCAAAAAATGCTGACATATGAAGAAATGGCTATTCTTAATTTACACAAAGCAGACACAATTGGACATCCAGAAATGCTTTTTTTCTTTAACATGCTAACTGTTATTTATCCACGACACCTAGCGGCGGCGAATGATTTTACTCGTTTTATGAACACTCTGCCTAACGGTGTCCATATAACAGCAACAAGAAAAATTCATGATTGATCTCCCTGTTGCTGCACATACATCCTGGCATGTTTACTTCGTTCATAAATAGCTCAATCTCAAATTTTTAAATGAAAATAGCTTGTTGAAAGTCTGTTTTTTTTCTTTAAATTTTCACTGATCGATAGCAACTTTGTTAAAAATTGACTCAGATTGTGAATTTGATAGCAATTTAGATGCAATCAGACATAATTCGTTGGTTAATTATGTTAGCTGTAGTAATACAGATTCCACTATTTAAATGAACCAAGTGAACTCATTATCATTCAACTTGACCAAGTTATGTTAGCTGTAGTAATAGAGATTCCTCTATTTAAATGAACCAAGTGAACTCATTATCATTCAACTTGACCAAGTTATGTTAGCTGTAGTAATAGAGATTCCTCTATTTAAATGAACCAAGTGAACTCATTACCATTCAACTTGACTAAGTTATGTTAGCTGTAGTAATAGAGATTCCTCTATTTAAATGAACCAAGTGAACTCATTACCATTCAACTTGACTAAGTTATGTTAGCTGTAGTAATAGAGATTCCTCTATTTAAATGAACCAAGTGAACTCATTATCATTCAACTTGACCAAGTTCTTGGTTTACCATGTTAAAAACCTTATTTTTCATCGTACATCATATGGCTAGATGTTTTTTTAAACTCTATGTGTTATTTGCATATAAAGTGTTAAAGAGATAAAGAATGAAAATTGATTACTTACCATCTAAACATGCAGGAGATGAGGGAGGTGACATGTCTTCAGGTACAACACTAATGTGTGTATTATGTTGGTCAATGTCCAGAGGCCTGAAACACAAAGTCACTCATCAGGAACTCATTCAGAAATTTTCTGCTCAACTATGACTGTGGCCCAGAGTTAGTCAGTACCTCAAAAATGACTGTAGCACAGTTAGTCAGTACCTCAAACATGATTGTGGCACACAGTTAGTCAGTACCTCGATCATGACTGTAGCACAGAGTTAGTACCTCAAACATGACTGTAGCCCAGAGTTAGCAGTATCTCAACAAAGGAGAACATGATTGAGAGTATGATGTTGTATGCTTTTATCCATATTATACATTTAACGTAAGACAACCCCCCAACCTGAAAATAATTTGTTTTGTTGGTTATATACATTCAAGTTATAGACTCAATCAATTTTAAGGACATTGCTTTAACGTGCCCAGGTCTACGTGGATACCCAGCTGGGATCTTAACCGCTCACTTCTACATCCACCTGGTGTAAATGTCATACTTAGAATGGTTCTCTTCCACTTGACAGACACTAAATGTCATCTATTCTTAGAATGGTTCTCTTCCACTTGACAGACACTAAATGTCATCTATTCTTAGAATGGTTCTCTTCCACTTGACAGACACTAATGTCATCTATTCTTAGAATGGTTCTCTTCCACTTGACAGACACTAAATGTCATCTATTCTTAGAATGGTTCTCTTCCACTTGACAGACACTAATGTCATCTATTCTTAGAATGGTTCTCTTCCACTTGACAGACACTAAATGTCATCTATTCTTAGAATGGTTCTCTTCCACTTGACAGACACTAAATGTCATCTATTCTTAGAATGGTTCTCTTCCACTTGACATACACTAAATGTCATCTATTCTTAGAATGGTTCTCTTCCACTTGACAGACACTAATGTCATCTATTCTTAGAATGGTTCTCTTCCACTTGACAGACACTAATGTCCTCTATTCTTAGAATGGTTCTCTTCCACTTGACAGATACTAAATGTCACCTATTCTTAGAATGGTTCTCTTCCACTTGACAGATACTAAATGTCATCTATTCTTAGAATGGTTCTCTTCCACTTGACAGACACTAATGTCATCTATTCTTAGAATGGTTCTCTTCAATTTGGGCAGATAACGACACAAAATTTCATCCTACCCAGGTTCAGCTGCATAAATTTAAGCTTAGGGTGTACTCACATTGTGCTAGAATCCTCGTGGTGATTGCAGGTGTAAGACTTCCTGGACTCTCCTGTGTTGGTTCGTGCTCTCATGGTTTCTTGTGGGCTAAGCAGTAAAAAAACACAACATCAATGCCAAAACCATCAAGACATCATTTAAAGACCACCAGCAGCTGTAAGCCAACTGTGTCTTGGGGGGAGCTATTCATTCAATCAATCAATTAGAATGCAGAGAAACTCATGATGGTAAGCTGCACTTGGACTATATGTCATGGGACAGCACCCAATTTTACAAGGCATTAACAGATAGGATGTTTAAAAATGACCTACTTCAAAATCAGAGTCCAACAGATCTGGACTAATCTATCTCAAATACATTTTAAAATTAGAAAATACACCAACCAAGTTGGCACAAATGCGTATATCCTTGTGACTCAATTTTTGCACTACAGGGGGAATCTTACGATGACCAAATGTAAATAAAGCTTATGATTTGACTCATTAGTTTCAACTGGGGGATTTGTGGGATGGCTGGATGCAAATAAAGTTTATGACATGACTCACTAGTTAGGACTACTTGGGGATTCATGGGATGACCAGCCAGAAGAAGTTTGGTAACAGGAGGATGGTCGTTGTTGCTCAGATCTTAATGAATTTCTCTGCCTGCCTGGGCTGAAAAGAAACCGCATAATGGAAGAGTTACCAAAAGGAAAGAG